TCACGTTATGTACATGAAGCAGATTTTAAACAGTAGTACTTTCCATTTACTTGCATAATAGCTAAATAAATTGTATTTCATATAGACAAACCGCATGTCTGAAATATTTCTTTTGAACATTTTGACGCTGAAGTGAGCGTTACTATGTAAATGAGACAATACAATATATATATATTTTTTTTGTGTACAGGAATCCGAACAACTGGATGAAAGATGATGGCGGTTCGTTCAGTCTCATATCATGTAAATGTAAGTGTTGATAACGTAATGTTGAATAATGCATAGTAAAAAAAAAAAAAACTGCTGTACTTTGTACATTAATTTAATTATTAATAATAATAATTAATTATTATTAATTTAAGCAATCTTTTGCCTTTTATTTACTTCATCACTGACTACCACTAGGTTGTGCTCTAAATCAAATTGTAAGATGAATTTTCAATTTAACGAAGAATCTTTTTGTTGTTAAAGGTTCCTGATCTGCCAAACGTCAAAGAAAGATGAGGAAAAGAATTTTCGCTGTAAGTATTGCACTTAAAGAAGCATTGTAGAAGCCTAAACTAATTCTTATCTTTTCTTGAACATCATACAGTTTATATTTTAGCTACTTTATAGTTAAGTGGTATATTTGTTAATGCTTTGAAAAAGCTTCAAATTTGCTTCAGTTTTACTTTACAGTAATTTGTACATAATTTAAGCATATCGACAATAGTGCTTTTATTCTAAATGCAGTCAGCTACAATAAATTCTAAACCGCATGTTTTCAAGACATTTTAAATAAAATAAAAAAATAATAAAGATCCTGAGTTTGCTATGGTAGCCATACCATCTGGTAATGTAACCGCAACATTCTATATGGTACTAGCTATGAACATTTTAACGTGCATCCATCTTAAGTGATGAAATGCAGACAGAAAAAAATGCATTTATTAATAGAAAAATACTAAAGGCAACATTATTGCACAATGTTGTTTGGGAATAGTGTGGAAAAATGTTTTGTCACATTACAAAATATACCTAATGGCATAATTTGCTTTTCATTGCGCCATTAATAGCTGGAACATTGCGACTTTTACTAATTGAATTCATTTAAATTGTCTAAATTATTCAGTCAATTACAATAAGTTATTTATATTTCATCCCTGAGAACACATCAGCATCCCTAGTATGAACAGCTTTAATGCAGCAAACAAAAAAAATTAATAAAGGACACGTGACCTTGCAACAAATTTAATGTTTACAATAAAACATAATTGTCACTCCAGTTACATTTAGGTTTGTTGTTGTTTTACTTGAAAACCAATTATTATTATTATTATTATTGTAAATTTGCCAGCATACCGTAAGCTCATTTATTGAGCACTTTGCAATACCTTTTAGTTCTTGAAACTTTAATTCACCAGTTGTCAGTTCATTGATTCCCTGGGAATTGAACCCACAACCTTACCTAGTGCAAGGATCTACTGTTTGAGCTTGCAGTAATATCACTGCAATTCCTGCTCAAACTGTGGTTTCTAATAGCAAGTTAGCTACTTCATTGCAGCCAGGGTAATGGAGTCTAATTAGTGATCGCTTTTATTTATGACTCCCAAAGCAAACATTACTGTAATTATTCCTCATTTTAAGTATTACATTTCAGTGAGTAATTCACCGTGCACTGGTTGTGCTCCAAATGAGAAAAAGGAGAGCTTTTAATATTTTCATCCCTGAGAACACATCAGCATCCCTAGTATGAACAGCTTTAATGCAGCAAACAAAAAAAATTAATAAAGGACACGTGACCTTGCAACAAATTTAATGTTTACAATAAAACATAATTGTCACTCCAGTTACATTTAGGTTTGTTGTTGTTTTACTTGAAAACCAATTATTATTATTATTATTATTGTAAATTTGCCAGCATACCGTAAGCTCATTTATTGAGCACTTTGCAATACCTTTTAGTTCTTGAAACTTTAATTCACCAGTTGTCAGTTCATTGATTCCCAGGGAATTGAACCCACAACCTTACCTAGTGCAAGGATCTACTGTTTGAGCTTGCAGTAATATCACTGCAATTCCTGCTCAAACTGTGGTTTCTAATAGCAAGTTAGCTACTTCATTGCAGCCAGGGTAATGGAGTCTAATTAGTGATAGCTTTTATTTATGACTCCCAAAGCAAACATTACTGTAATTATTGCTCATTTTAAGTATTACATTTCAGTGAGTAATTCACCGTGCACTGGTTGTGCTCCAAATGAGAAAAAGGAGAGCTGTTAATAGTTTCTAAATAATCAGGCACAAGAATTTCATCTGTCAAATTTTGAACGTCCCTTACACTTTAAAAATTCATAAATGATATATAGGGATCGCAGTATTGTGGGCGTGGAACCTTGTGACTTGTTTACTGAGCGCTAGTAATCCAGTCACAACCAACTGCATAGTAATACTCCTAACAACCAATCAGAACATCCGAACATCACGGCAGTGACTTTTGCATGAAGCAGCATCACTTACGTTTTCAACAGAAAATACATTTAGTAGTATTTGGAAGATAAATAGGCTTTCGGCTTTTCCACTACTAAACCGATAACATCTTGAATTAATCATTGGGCAATGTGACTCTAACTTGAGTTGAGAACAGCTCATGTGTTCTCAACTGACAGTATTATGTTTTATACTTCTGATCTCACCGATTGTCTTCCTCCCTGCAGATGACGTTTGCCTAAAGAGGAAGCTTCAGTAAAGTGTCAAGGAACAGAAGACTGCTCTGTAAGTCCTCACAGTGTTATTTGTATTATTAAGGTTTTACTCCATATGTCTGTCATTTTAGCTACATTTAGGTCCCACGGTTAAGGTATTTTAGCCCAGCAAATGTAGTAATCAGTAAACGGCATGAAATGGAAGTTTTGTCAAAATAATTGATTTAGAATTTCTGCAGTTCTCCACAGTTTTACAAAAGGTAAAGAACAAGTTCAAAGCTTAATAAAATGAGGTCAATAATAGCTTCGAGTTCAGCTTGGAAAAGTGTAAATGTTCAGCTTTTTCAATTTGCATTGATGACCACACTTTTTACATTTACTTGTCTTCAGTACCTGAGCATGCTTGGGTGCTGTCTTCACTTCATCTTGTTTTCAGTGAAAACCTTTCTTCAGAAAAGTGACTCGTTTCTTGTGGAGCCAGTTCTGCTTTTGTGTGACTTGTTTTACACATCTTTCTTGATTCTCTGCCACTAATGGCCTCTTTTTGTTTTCACTGGCTATTGCATACTTCATTATGCATTGAAGATTTCACTCTCACTTGCACTAGTGCCACTTTTATACTGGAATACACAGTATAAATTTCCATTTCCCTTGTGTGTCGTGTGATCGCTGAAACTTTTCTGCTTTTGATTTTGGGATAGGTATCCAGACAGGGACAGACCAGAAACCATGGTCTGTTGCTATTGCACATTAATTAATGTGCCTATTCCAGTGAATTATTCCATTTGCTTCATATTAAGACGCGGTTTAATTTGAGCTGCCACCTAATTATTGTAATGACATGGTTGATGAAAAGGGATTCAAACCGTTTAGAAGAAAAATTCTTAACTTGAGAATAAAGCTACTGACATTCAGTAAGCAAATGCCATGTTTATTGAGAGCTGTGACTTGAAGTCTTTTTAGTCACTTTTCTGAAGCCTGACTTTTATTAAACGTCCTTCATACCAGGCCTTTTTTTCTTTGGGGATTGTTTTTTCCTCTAACATATGGGAAAACTTGTTGTCCCATTTATATTTGTACTTATACACAGCCTAAACATTCTGAATGACTTAAAAGTAACAAGATTACAGTTTTTTTTTTATTTCAATAAATTTTTAATATTGGCCAAAGTTACACATTGTAATAACATTATCACAAGGACCGACACATTAAAATAATTTAATAAACTTCAATAATTGAAGTTCTCACTTGTTTTTCACTTACTTATTTCAATGCTTTTCAACTCTGACTTTTAACTTGGATACATCTTTGTTCTTGTATCAATAACTATTGGATACATCTTTGTTCTTGTATCAATAACTATTGGATACATCTTTGTTCTTGTATCAATAACTATTGGATACATCTTTGCTCTTGTATCAATAACTATTGGATACATCTTTGCTCTTGTATCAATAACGATGGGATACATCTTTGCTCTTGTATCAATAACGATGGGATACATCTTTGTTCTTGTATCAATAACGATGGGATACATCTTTGCTCTTGTATCAATAACGATGGGATACATCTTTGCTCTTGTATCAATAACGATGGGATACATCTTTGTTCTTGTATCAATAACGATGGGATACATCTTTGTTCTTGTATCAGTGACTATTACTACAAAGATTGGAATAAAGTTACCTTTTGTGAAGCACATTCAGAGAAATGATAGCTAATGACAGACATATGTTGTAACCCTACAGGATTTCAAAATGCGTATTTGTGTTGTGATCATTTAAACTTTGGGTCTATCATAAAGCTACTTTCTGAGTAGCAATGTAAAAAGTAAACTTAAAAGTGAACCAAATGCAGGTAATATAGATTTTTTGGTAGTTGAAAGTAATGGTTTTTGTAGTGTTGTTGCTTGTGATTTTATGCTTCCGAGATAGTGTGAAAAGAGTTTTTTGCACCTACAGCTGCGGCAACTATGTAGCATTGTTCTGTTAGCATTTTACCATCAATATATGAAAAATAATGCACTTTGTTGTTATTGTCTGTTATTATGCTACTATTATTGTATGGACAAGTTGTGCATGTTAATTTTGAAGTTGCCTTAATTGATCACCTTGGGAGATTGACCATTGTCTTAAACTTGATAATCGTTAGTTCGAGAACTATACAAAAGTGGGTACTGATAACATTTTTGTTTTGTTCGTAGCTACACCATAGCTGTGCGTTACAGTTTATATGAAAAGCTGTCATCGCATCTTTAAGAATACATTTGGGGTTTAAATGTTTTCCCTTCTTTTTAATTTCATTAAGAACCAATTCTGGACTCTCTCTCTCTCTCTCTCTCTCTCTCCATTCAAATAGCAATCGGTGGATTACTGCTATTATTTTTCTTTCCGAATATTATTCCGATTATTATTTTCGTCTCACTCCTGGAATATTTTAGATTTTTTTCCCTGTTATGGCCAAGGTAATAAATCGGGTATTTTGTCAGATGTGAATGTACTGATACAATCCTCCTCCTGTCAATGCAATAGGTATGTTTACATCGTTTATTTTTTATCGTCGATTTTATTTTCTATCATCGTTATGTTTTAATCGTCCTTTGTTTGATGACGCAGTAAGAATTTATGCATGTGGCTCTGAATCTATTGCCTTGAAATGCCAGACACATGGGTATTTGACATCGAATAGAGTCGAGCAGGTGCCATTTCAATTGCGATGCCTTTTAATTTAAGAAATAACATAAATATTTATTTGTTTTAAATTATCCGAGGCCAACTTGCCTTCTCCACATATCGCAACGGCAGGACTTTTTTTTTTTTTATTTTTTTTTTTGATGGTTCATCCCACTTTAAACTTTTGACAGTTAATACCTGGACAAAAGACCATCATTAACAAATCCCAAGACAAAATCATGATGAAGAATAAGAGTAGAAAGCAGGAAGATGAAGGCTCGACTCAAAGCAATGCTTCCAGGTACGATCTTACATATTTTTCCTCTTTTTCTTTTAACATGTGTCGTGATTGTTAACCTTTACAAGCATGGTTGATCACCTGTGCAGAAGTTTAAACCACAATGTCTGTAAAGTATTTGGGTTTCGGATCATTGACCTTGGGATAGATGTATAGCCCCACCCTGATTTTGCTAGCATTTCTAAAAGTGAATTCAAGGCCTATGGGCCTTTAACCAAATTTATAGTAAATATGCACAGGGTTTATACAGATTTATGAGGTTATTACAGTTTTAATATTTACACTTTAATAGTGATCGTGTGAAATGATCTAATTATCTAATTAGTATGTGCTGCATTGCACCACTATGTAAGGTTAATGTCATTTTAAACACTTTTACTTTGACATTGCATGAGTTTAGCATTTGATAACTTTGAATTAATATTGCAGTACTTGTATAGAGAACCTGTTCAGTCTGATTTTCTTGAAATATTTTAATGAAATCCCATTTCACATAAATAAAATGTTTAAAGCAAGTTAATTGTTTTATCCAAAATGAAGATGATTGTATGTTGTACATATTTATTTTTACTTTTTAATTTTTTTGTAATAGCAACAACTTTTGCTTGTTTACTGTGCAACTGTATTTTAAATTATATGACAAACCGTTGCTTATTACAGGAAATAAGGATCACTTTTGTGTTTTAGTGTTTTTATTAAAAAACTTTTGATACTAAAATACTACTTGTTTTAGGGTCACATGACCCATTTGAATTACAATATTTGTCATTTGCTATAAGGGTACTAAATGTTTATGGAGTAAATATTTATAATTCCCTAATGACATGGGGTATGTTACCTCATATATTAGTACATTTCTAGCTTAGCACTCAATAACATATTTCATAATTCACTACTTTTGAAAGCTCTTTGTAAAAAATACTTTAGCTTTCACTTAGGGCTGCACAATTAACCGGATTTCTAATCGTGATTACAATTATGGATGCCACAGTTACGTAATCGTTCAAAGCGGCAATTAATCATTCAAAGTCCACTTATGTTATTCTTCACGCTTAAGATGTTTTTTTTCTCTTTTTACATGTTATCTTAAGGGTTTTTACATTGTTTTAGTTTGTTTTAGTATAACATAATACCATTCATATTTTTTTTTATAATTTAAAGAAGAAACTAATCCGATGTATATTTGACATTTGAGGCTTAATACTATAGAAAAGCACAAAGTTCTTCAGTTAGTGTTTTCAGCTTGTTTATTTTCATATAAAAATACGGCATGCCGTTGCATCAAACAATGGTATAAACATCGTTCAATGTAAATTGTGATAATCGTAATTAATCGCAGTTACAATTTCATGGGGATAATCGACAATTATGATTTTTGTCATAATGGTGCAGCCGAACTTTCACTATTTTTGTTTTAAAAGAGTGTTTTATTATTTTTAAGCGTTGTTAGGACAATTTTTTTCCTGTTTTGTCACAATTGGTTTCGTTTGAATAACTTTCAGCAGCAAAACTAGTTTTGGGTGAAACATTTAAAAACCTTGGGGGAAAAAAAACCCAAGACAGATATGTTGCTCCTTAAGACTTATAGTACCATCTAAATCAAAAGTAGTTCTCCAATGTGAATATGTATATATGTTCTATGATTTTTTTTCTCCAAGCCAAATAAAAAAAACAGGATGTCTTGGTTTCAAACGTGGAAGCAAAATATTTTGGTTACTTTACTACACTCACAGTTACTTTTATTTCCATATGAAAACTGGAACTATTTGAGTTGTAAATAATGTTATTTCATATTAAGAGTAATTTGTCTTTTACAGAAATGTATTTACATATGCATTATTAATTTAGGCTATTCTTTAAAATATTACAAAATGACAAGGATTTTGAAATGAGACAGTGATGCCATTTTTCAGAGGTTCATGTTTTGTTTATTCAGGAAATATATTTAAAAAAACCGTTTGAATGGAAGATTTTATTTTAATTACCAGTTGTTCAGTTTTGAAAGTCTAATAATAATGCATTTACACTATACACATAAACACAGACACACAATTTGTGTCATTTTAACATACTTTACTTCACCTTTTAACAACATAAGACCTCATCAATGAGGGTTTTACCCTGTGGGTCATCATAAGTCTTAACATCAAAACATTGTGTGTGTGTTTTTTTTAATGTATAGTGCTTATGACTGGATCTGTCATTATTTTTATGGTTGTTTGTCAAGAATGTCCCTCTGAATTGATGACAGCTTTGACGTTCCTGCATATGTGCCAGATACCAGAGTCTAAACTGAAAAAAAACCCCTCAAATGTATGTTATCTTTTCACAATTACACAAACAGTAGTTATATGTAATGCTGTATATGTGAACATGAATTGTCAAATGAACATGTATGCTCACTTTTATAGGTTGCAAATAATGTTTTCAGTAATAAAGATGCACATTAGAGCCTAAATCAATGCAGTGTCCTCAGAAACATCTTCACTGTTGTTGTTTTTTTTTTATAGCTGTGACAGCCATTTTCTAAGTATTACTAAAAAAAAACGAGCTGAAAAATATTTTTTTCCTATATTACAGCCAGTGTACTTCTATTTGAGGTGCTTGTATGGATGCACATTAGAGCCTAAATCAATGCAGTGTCCTCAGAAACATCTTCACTGTTGTTGTTGTTTTTTTAGCTGTGACAGCCATTTTCTAAGTATTACTAAAAAAAACGAGCTGAAAAATATTTTTTTCCTATATTACAGCCAGTGTACTTCTATTTGAGGTGCTTGTATGCGTTGGCGCTACATAAAAAGCACTGCTTTGTTTCATCACTGTATGAGACTGGTTTCATTAAATGGCTGAAAGTCCTCAAAGTCACAAAATGGCTCTTGCTTTGTGCTGCATAGCTTGTAGTAGTTGCTCTGCTGCATTACATAAAAGCTTCTTGGAACTACAGGAAGCGGAAGTAGGAAGTCTTGTAGAGGTCAGATGATTTCATACAGCGTTTTCATTGGTCCTTCCTTTGTCTAGCAATAAGCAGCCAATGAGAATTCATTTGAGAGGTTAGGCCCGCCCACATGTGATGTCAGCAACCATATAAGGACAGTCTGGCTGCTTCATCAGCAGCTGTTTAGCTCCAGAGCACATGATGGGGGTGTTTGTTTCTAGCAGTGCATTCCATTATAGTACTCAATGTGCTAGCTTTCACATCCAGCTCAGCGTTATGGTCTCCCATGGGTGCATTGTAACAATTTAAAAGAGCACTACTGAGATACTTTTAACTGAGGTTTAAGGAAACAAGTTATTTTTTTTTTTTAACCATGTAAGGAAGATAAATGTTCTATTTTGAGATTGTTTCATTTATAGTAAACGGGGTCGGGCTTGTTCATTGCATTTATTTTTAGACTCAAAGGGCAAAAGGTGGTCAGACACAAAATGACCTGCAGGATGATGCCACATATCCGATAGTTTCACAATTCATAAAGGTTATTTTGGTAGTTTTTTATTTTTTTAAATGCAATTTTTGGATTTGCACACTGAAAGACATCTTTAATTTGAAATAAAATGAAATCATTACAAAATCAGTAAACCAGGTTGTATGTACATGTCTCATTATACATTTGCACATGTAAAAACGATTCCTAATTCTGTCAATTAAATGAATTATTCTAATTTTACAGGTGTTGTCAGTTTGTCATTTAAGTAGCATATTTTTTTTTTTTTAGATTTTAAATGCAAAAAGTTTCCCATGCATTGAATTCACTGTTGTTGTTGTTTTTTTAGCTGTGACAGCCATTTTCTAAGTATTACTAAAAAAAACGAGCTGAAAAATATTTTTTTCCTATATTACAGCCAGTGTACTTCTATTTGAGGTGCTTGTATGCGTTGGCGCTACATAAAAAGCACTGCTTTGTTTCATCACTGTATGAGACTGGTTTCATTAAATGGCTGAAAGTCCTCAAAGTCACAAAATGGCTCTTGCTTTGTGCTGCATAGCTTGTAGTAGTTGCTCTGCTGCATTACATAAAAGCTTCTTGGAACTACAGGAAGCGGAAGTAGGAAGTCTTGTAGAGGTCAGATGATTTCATACAGAGTTTTCATTGGTCCTTCCTTTGTCTAGCAATAAGCAGCCAATGAGAATTCAGTTGAGAGGTTAGGCCCGCCCATATGTGATGTCAGCAACCATATAAGGACAGTCTGGCTGCTTGGTCAGCAGCTGTTTAGCTCCAGAGCACATGATGGGGGTGTTTGTTTCTAGCAGTGCATTCCATTATAGTACTCAATGTGCTAGCTTTCACATCCAGCTCAGCGTTATGGTCTCCCATGGGTGCATTGTAACAATTTAAAAGAGCACTACTGAGATACTTTTAACTGAGGTTTAAGGAAACAAGTTCTTTTTTTTTTTTTTAACCATGTAAGGAAGATAAATGTTCTATTTTGAGATTGTTTCATTTATAGTAAACGGGGTCGGGCTTGTTCATTGCATTTATTTTTAGACTCAAAGGGAAAAAGGACCGCAGCAGTGGTCAGACACAAAATGACCTGCAGGATGATGCCACATATCCGATAGTTTCACAATTCATAAAGGTTATTTTGGTAGTTTTTTATTTTTTTAAATGCAATTTTTGGATTTGCACACTGAAAGACATCTTTAATTTGAAATAAAATGAAATCATTACAAAATCAGTAAACCAGGTTGTATGTACATGTCTCATTATACATTTGCACATGTAAAAACGATTCCTAATTCTGTCAATTAAATGAATTATTCTAATTTTACAGGTGTTGTCAGTTTGTCATTTCAGTAGCATATTTTTTATTTTTAGATTTTAAATGCAAAAAGTTTCCCATGCATTGAACTGGATTTCCTCATTTCTAGTTTCCAAATCCTTGGAATGCTATTGTTTACATAGACAAAGAAACAGCATGGTTGAAGGCATCCCACTTGAGGACTCGGCATTTCTTTGTTGGACTGAGATGATAACATTTTGTTTAAAAGACAGACTCGTCAGTTTAAAATTGGCGAAAAGAAAAGGTGGCATAATTAAGTGATTTAGAATTAAACAAGTTAAAATATTAAAAGTTATAAACTACAAATTTACCTATTGACAATTCATAAGAGCTGAATGACATTTTTGGCAGTAACTGAGACTTCAAAGTGAACGTCATTCCTGCTTTACTGTTTAGAGCATCTTGACATGTTTTTATTGTTTCTCAACATGCACATCTTTAATGTTATAGCAATTCAGCATCAGAGGAATCTAACCGCTCTGGATTGGAGTCTGGGAGTCCGTCTGAGAGCGAGCAAGGAAGTGATAGAGCTCGTTCCCGGCGTTCTGAATCCAACAGCACATCTGATTCTGAGAGCCACTCGGAGTCGGGCAGTGAATCCACTGGGTCCAAATCCCGTCAGACCTCAGCGCAGGTCAAAGACAAACCAGTCAGGAAGAAAGACAGCCTGGCAGATGTGAAGAAGGTACAAAAATAGGCCAGCCTGAACATTAGGATCAACCCAGTGGAAACTTACATTTAGCTGCTGATTAATTGCTTTATGATTTAAAATGAATTATATCCCTAATTATCATAGATGTGGGAGGAACATCCAGATATTTATGGTGTTAGAAGATCCAGTCGCAGCAGACAAGAGCCTGCTCGCCTCAACATTGGAGCTGAGGTAGGCTGGCTGTGCAAAAATCAATTCAACACTGACCCCTAGTGGTTTCTTGCGTTCTTTCACATGCTGTGTTGACATTTGCAGCAAGTTGACAACATGTTCTGCTTCTTGGACTAAAGTAATTACAGACATGGTTACTTAGTAAAGCGTAAACATTTATGTTTGGCTCTAGACTCGGAACTGATCAGGCTTGGCAGCCCAAGTCGTGTAAACATACTCCCATGTGTTGAATGCTTTGTTTTCTTGATTAATCTGAAACATGACATTTTCATGGCTTGTAATCTTAGTGCCACATATTCAAAATGGATTTTCATGGATTTTTAGGGCAGCAGTGATTCAGAGAGTGAAACTCCCAAAAGAAAAAGCTCACGGCAGAAAAAGAAAGAGTAAGTATACTGGAAGTATTTAAGTAGGTCTCTCACTCCTTTTTCCATTTTGTATTTACAAATGTGTGCCTCTGTTTAGTTATTTTTTTTTAAATCATGATTGTCTCCATTTATAACATTTGGATTCGCCCATATTTTTGCATGTAAATGTCTTAAAACTCCCAAAAGAAAAAGCTCACGGCAGAAAAAGAAAGAGTAAGTATACTGGAAGTATTTAAGTAGGTCTCTCACTCCTTTTTCCATTTTGTATTTACAAATGTGTGCCTCTGTTTGTTTAGTTCTTTTTTTTAAAATCATGATTGTCTCCATTTATAACATTTGGATTCGCCCATATTTTTGCATGTAAATGTCTTTTGGGCAGTTGTTTTTCTTTACACTAAATATATTGTTTATATTAAAAGGTATTTAAAAACTTAACACTTTTCTGAGTCATTTTTTTGTAAGTAATAAAAAAAAGAATTCACATTTGCTTGTTAAAATGTTAACTAAAAACAAATGGCTCAGAAAAAAAAAAGTTTTGAGAAAAAATGTTGCAGATGCCACTTGATATGAAGATTTGTATACAGTGCAATGACAGTCATACATTAAGTGTGGTTTATAAGTATATAGAATCAAATAAAAGTTTTCTAACTGTAAACTTTCAGTTTATAACAAATTAGTTTTATTATAAAATGCAATACATACGTTCTGAGTACACTACAATTCAAAAGTTGGGGGTCAGTAAGGATTCTTTTTATTAAATGTATTCAGCAAGGATGCATTCAGTTCAATTGTTATAAAATATTTCTATTTCAACTAAATGCTGTTTTTTTAGCTTTCTGTTCATCAAAGAATCCTGAAAAAAATGTTCATGGTTTTCACAAAAATACTTAGAAGTACAACTGTTTTCAACATTGATAATAATACGCAATGTTTCCTGAACACCAAATCAGCATATTAGAATGATTTGTGAAGGATCATGTCACACAGAAGAATGAAGTAATTGCTGCTGAAAATTCAGCTTTGCTACCACAGGAATAAATACACATTTTAAATTGGAAATTTAATTTGTAAAAATATTTCACAATATTACATTCTAGCTGTGCAGCCTTGGTAAGCATGTGACTTCTTTAAAAAACAACAACCTTACCAACCCAAACTTTTGAACAGTGCTGTATCCACACTGAAGTGTCTCTCGCAGCATGTTTAATTGCCTGCGCGGTGGGTAATAAGTGAACGGACTGACTTGCAGCTTTACGATAGGCTAGAAGTAGAAACTAACAGAGGTCCAATAGATCAACCTGTGGTATTTCTGTGTTGAAAGAAATACCTGGAAAGATGATGACTCAAATGACGAAGAGGGTGTTGAGGAAGAGGCCAGCAGTTCAGAGAGTGAGCAGGAAGAGAAAAAAGTTAGATCCAGACGACTTCCTGCTAGAAGGTAAGAGTGTAGCGAAGCCTGGCCTTCAGACAGCGCCTCGTGAATTATTAAATGAGCTGTCTTATTAAATGCAAATGGTGATGGCTCATTTTTAATTGCTATGGTTGTGCTAAAAATATTGGTGTGAATTTTTTTTTTCTGCTCTATCATAAATTATCGCATGTGTCCTAAATTGTTAAAGCATGTACTTTGGCATAATGATCAATATAATCATTAAAATATTTATATATGAAGAATTAGGACTGCTATATAAGTCTGACAGCTGTCTCAAGGCTATTGGCTTATGAGTCAGGCTGATAGGTGTGAAAACGAGTCGCTACACTAGCAAACACTTCAGGGACGCGGAACCAAAGGCAAAAAGCCCACCATGGTAATATGTGTGTGTGTACTTTTCTCTTTCCCTTCCCAGGCCACAGACCAAATCATCTGGTAAGCAGCAGTCACAAAAGGGACGGAAACAGAGGAAGGAGTCATCGGCCTTCAGACAGCGCCTCGTGAATTATTAAATGAGCTGTCTTATTAAATGCAAATGGTGATGGCTCATTTTTAATTGCTATGGTTGTGCTAAAAATATTGGTGTGAATTTTTTTTTTCTGCTCTATCATAAATTATCGCATGTGTCCTAAATTGTTAAAGCATGTACTTTGGCATAATGATCAATATAATCATTAAAATATTTATATATGAAGAATTAGGACTGCTATATAAGTCTGACAGCTGTCTCAAGGCTATTGGCTTATGAGTCAGGCTGATAGGTGTGAAAACGAGTCGCTACACTAGCAAACACTTCAGGGACGCGGAACCAAAGGCAAAAAGCCCACCATGGTAATATGTGTGTGTGTACTTTTCTCTTTCCCTTCCCAGGCCACAGACCAAATCATCTGGTAAGCAGCAGTCACAAAAGGGACGGAAACAGAGGAAGGAGTCATCAGATGAGGATGATGACGATGATGAGGAGGAGGATAACCCAAAAAGACAAACAAGGCGGCGAGCAGCAACTAAAGTCAGGTAAGGATTCATCTTAAGGAGTTTATGTAGAGCTGATATATGGGAGATGCCATACTTGTCAGAAATATTTATTATATATATATAAATATAATTTATTCAGAGATATAGTTATTTAATACATACAGTAAATACTACGCCTACTGTATATATTTCAGAATTTTTGTTTTTCGGGTCAAGCAAACTGTCTTTTAGTTGAATCCTATTAGTTAAATTTAAAATGTAGCCAATGTGATACATGAGAAACTTACATTTTTACATCGCTCAATCCTTATCTTATAACTTATATTTATATGCATTTTATATAAGTAGTCTGTTGTAGACTAAGATTAAATACGATTTTTAAGATGAAAAAATTATATTCAACAGAAAACACTTACGCAAACTTATTATTATTATTATTATTATTTTTATTTCATAAATTTTTTTATTTTTATTTTTCCTGTTCCATTTAATTCTCTCTCTCACACATACATATATATATTTTACACCAAATTACATTTTTAGAGTCAATAAATAATTGTTCTTGAAAATGGCATAAAAGTTTTAAAAAGCATACAAACTAGCATTCAGTAAGTTTTCTTTTTCCTTTTCTTCATTGACATTCTTATTTGTGATTGACCAATTAAGTATTATGACTTGGCAGAGTGGTAATGATGAAGTATGTGTTGCAGTTACAAGGAGGACCAGAATGATTTCGAGACGGACTCTGATGACCTTATTGAAATGGCAGAAGGAGCCGAGGAGCAACAGGACGATGACAGTGAAACCATTGAGAAGGTCCTTGAGACCAAAATTGGCAAAAAAGGAGGTAACAAACTTTTTATAAAGTTTTTCTTTTTATACTTAATATTCTGTGATACACACCAGCTATTGTGCTTGTTTATTAAAGCCCTTATTTTTTCTCCACCTTGTTTACAGCTACTGGAGCTTCCACAACTCTCTATGCTATTGAGGAAAATGGGGACCCTGGAGCAGACTTTGACCCTGAGAAAGATGAAGGGGAGACTCAGTTCCTCATCAAGTGGAAAGGCTGGTCCTACATACACAGCACCTGGGAGAGTGTAGATTCCCTCACTCAGCAGAAAGTCAAAGGGATAAAAAAGCTGGAAAACTTCAAGAAGAAAAACGAAGAGCTTAACGCTTGGTCAGTGCTCACAGAGATGCCATGTTCTCATTTTTATATGATCTCTGGAAGAAACTGGCATCTTGAAGCCGAACATGAACGCCATTTTTTTACAGACTAAAAACTGACACCAAACGTTTAAATTACAATTATGTTTTTTAGGTTGAAGAAAGCATCACCTGAAGATTTAGAATATTACAACTGCCAGCAAGAACTAACCAATGACCTGAGCAAGCAATTCCAGATAGTAGAGAGAGTGATCGGTAAGTGCTGACTCGAGTAAGACAATCTTACCGCTGATAAACTACACTACAGTTCAAAGGTTTGGTGTCAGTAATTTTTTTCAATGTTTTTGAAGGAACTGTCTTATGCTCACCAAGGCTGCATTGAAATTGTTATAATAATAATATATATATATATATATATATACATGCACACACACACACACACTCTTACGTGTATATATATATCAGGACTCGACATTAACGCTTGTCCGGGACAAGTGAATGAGAAATTTACTTGCCCAATCGGACAAGTAACATGAAAATGTCAATACCATAAACAATAATACCTGCCTTTATTTGTGATATAGCCATTGTTATAGGGGTGTGTGATATATATCATTTGCGATAATATCATAATTGTTGTTTAAACGATGTGCGATTTGACATTGAGTATATTGCAAAAATCAAACAAAACACACCTACAGAGTGCACGAGCACATTAGCCCTACGTAAAGTCTAGTAGGTTAGACTAGTGCACTTGTGCATTCTTTCATTGCATGATTCAGTATAATAATTCATGAAGAATGATCAGAAAATTCAAGATATGGGGGCAGAAAATGTATATAATTTCATATAGTTAAACAATATCACACGAAGATCGAGCGCAGTTTTTTTGCTCCAAAAATCAGCATGATTACAAATGTGATTTTATACAACAGTTCAATTAACAAGAAGTTAATATTAAGAGACTTACGTTTTAGACACCATATTGCCTGTTTTTGTTCTATTTCGCCAACAGAAATAATTCCAAACACAGCCACAGCACTGTTTTGTGTCTCTGAGCAACATGACAGTGTTTCGTTCCTGAATGAATCCGTTTGAATGATTCGGTTCAATCGCAATAACTCACTTATTTACAGGGACTTGATGCCACCTACTGGCATTTTTAATTTCACATTTAAATTATTATTATAATTTTTTTTAATAATTTCAAATATCAGTTTTCAACGTTTTATGTTTACAGTATTAAAACATTATATATGCATGTGTAACTGCAGGTTAAATGCATTCATGTCCTGCATTAAACAATGTTTAAATGCATCTAAATGCCACTTCAGATGCAGCTTCTGTGTTTCCTCTGCATTGCAAAGATGAATTTTGTTGATACTGATTTCACTTTATTTTTTATTATTTTATTTAAAAAGAAAAATCTAACTAAATAAACAATGTGACATGCTCATAAAATCTACTACATACTGTATACGCTATAAACACTATACTGTGTTTTGTATAACTACAATAAATAATTATATTTATAACTCAATTTAAATGTTTTTTTTTTCTCTCCGGGCAAGTAACTTTTATACTCTGACTCAGTAAATGACAAATGTACTTGTCCGAAGGACAACCACATGAGAAGTGTTAATGTCAAGACCTGTGTATACTGTGTATATATATATATATCAGTGGCGAGCGGTGACTTTTTTAAAAGGGGTCATATGATGCTGCTAAAAAGAACATTATTTTGTGTATTTGGTGTAATGAAATGTGTTTATGCGGTTTAAGGTTAAAAAAACACATTATTTTCCACATACTGTACATTATTGTTTCTCCTCTATGCCCCGCCTTTCTGAAACGCATCGATTTTTACAAAGCTCATTGGTCTGAAAAAGCGAGGTGTGCTGTGATTGCCCAGATATCCAGTGCGTTGTGATTGACCGAATACCTCAAGCGTGTGACGGAAATGTTGCGGCCCCTTACCATATTGTGATGCCCTGTCCGGCCGGAGCGATGATTCAAAAACATGAAAACCCATTATAAACGAGGCATTCGTTGCATCCAGTAGGGACATAATTATGGATTATAATGACTTGTACTGTCTTTTTACGCGTTGCGTTGCGTTGTATCGCGCCGCGCAAACATAAAACCATGTTTGCATTTGTGATCGGAGAAATGGCAAACAACAAGCCCTACTCTACACTGCCCAAACAGTGACGAGTGGTGACTTTTTTAACCGGGTATGCTGAGTGACCCCCCCCCCCATCGGTTTTTAGGACACTCAAAAGGGATCACAGATGACAAATAAGAAACACCGTGGCAGGTCGGTTTAAAAGTATGCACATTTCCTACCTTATTTGTAAATTAAATTCATCTCCAATCCTCCTTCTATCATTTCAGGTTTATCCATTGCTATTTGAATGCAAGAAAAATATAGCTGGTTTAGTAAAATCTGCTAATTAAGTTTTTGTTATGTTATGTTATGATACGCAATCAGAGGGTGGGGAGATGGGGGGGATTCCCCCTGGTCTATATGTCTCTGCATCAGGTAAATTATCTTTTTATTCACAGAGAATAGGAGTTAAAACTCCCACCCGGGTGACATAACAGACCATGCAAAATACCCAAAAGTATTTAAAATATTGCAAAGTAACGTTGCATCCTTGCAAACAATAATAAAACCAGAGAAGGACTTCAACTGTAAGCGACACGAGAATACGCAAAACAATATGATGTTTGTTAATATTAAAATTTTATATAGCCCACGTTTTTATAAAACATTTTTTTTACATTTACCGCTTAGGCAATAACATTGACAATAACGTATATCTTCAACATACGTTGTCTATGACCAAAAATGTAAGTTGTTCAGTGGACTTTCTCAGTGCTTGAGAAAATAAAAATATACAGTTAGTGTTTTTTTTTTTTCTTTAGATTTAGTCGAGTTGGTTTTGCATCAAACACAATGTGATTCTCGGCAATCGAGATCTGACAGCAACAGCATATTTTTGTGATTGGGCGAGCGCTTCGCGAACAGCTTACCTCGCGCATTAAATCTGCCGCAGACCAGCAAATCACTGAGAACGCGCTATAATCCTGACGAGTCATAGTAACAGAGCGGAGGCGAGAAAGCTGCGGAGAATCTGCTCGCCCGGAAGCAACCATAACTGACGTAGATTTACAGAAAATTACTGCCGTTTGGCAAAAAAAAAATATTTTACGTACTTATTCCTAACTCTTTAAGCTTTAAGTTACATTTCAAATGACAAGGGATCAACTTAAAATCATGTTTATATGAATTTTCCCGTGAACTTGTTCTCTCAAATGGTCTGGGTATGCGGAGCATTCACAGCTTATATGGACGGAACGCCACTGGTATATATATATATATATATATATATATATATATATATTACAGTATATATATATATGTGTGTGTGTGTGTGTGTGTATATATATATATATATATATATATATATATATATATATATATAATATTACTGTTTTTACTGTATTTTATATCAAATAAATGCAGCCTTGGTGAGCATAACGCCTGTTTCACACATACTCCATTCACAGGCTTTTTGGCTAGGTTTGAAACAAATAAAAGTGCACTTTTAGATAAACAAGGCAACATATACACTTGTGTGTTGTGGAGGTAGAAAAACAAAGTTGTTTAAGACCCGCGGGACTGTTTGTAATAAAGATTTAAATGTAAAAGGCACGAGAGCCGAATCTTTCTATCAGTGGTAAGTTTTAATTAAAAATATTTGTGATAACCTAACACAAGAAAGCTATATGCTGTGTTCAAATGTGTTTCCACTTGCTTGAGCAACTTAATATACAAATCTAGAAGCCAAATGCATTTAATACGCTGTTTATATTAACTGAGTTTAAACGTGAATATGTCTGAAAAATTGTGCAACTGTACTGTGATAAAAGAGGATCACAATGCTGAAAAAACACTTTCAGTATAGGTTAACTATGTTTGGATTTGAAATCAAAATAATGGATAAAGGTTGTGTTTGTGTTAAACAGCCGCGGGACTGCAAACGCGTCCTGTGTGAAAGCACAATGAGTCCATGCTGCTTCTGCACCACATACTTAATACACTCGGACCGCATACGCACTGCAGATGAATTATGTGTGAAACAGGCGTTAGACTTATTTAAAAAGAAAATGTTACCAACCCATACTTGAAATGTAGTTAGCATCTCTCCTAGCATGTTAAGGCTGCATTTATATGATTAAAAATACAGTAAAAGCAGTAATATTATGACATATTATTACAATTTAAAATGACTGTATTCTATTTTAATATATTTAAAAATGTAATTTCTTCCTCTGATGGCAAAGCTGAATTTTCAGCAGCCATGGACTGTTTGTAATAAAGATTTAAATGTAAAAGGCACGAGAGCCGAATCTTTCTATCAGTGGTAAGTTTTAATTAAAAATATTTGTGATAACCTAACACAAGAAAGCTATATGCTGTGTTCAAATGTGTTTCCACTTGCTTGAGCAACTTAATATACAAATCTAGAAGCCAAATGCATTTAATACGCTGTTTATATTAACTGAGTTTAAACGTGAATATGTCTGAAAAATTGTGCAACTGTACTGTGATAAAAGAGGATCACAATGCTGAAAAAACACTTTCAGTATAGGTTAACTATGTTTGGATTTGAAATCAAAATAATGGATAAAGGTTGTGTTTGTGTTAAACAGCAAAGGTTGTGTTTGTGACTGCAAACGCGTCCTGTGTGAAAGCACAATGAGTCCATGCTGCTTCTGCACCACATACTTAATACACTCGGACCGCATACGCACTGCAGATGAATTATGTGTGAAACAGGTGTTAGACTTATTAAAAAAAAAATGTTACCAACCCATACTTGAAATGTAGTTAGCATCTCTCCTAGCATGTTAAGGCTGCATTTATATGATTAAAAATACAGTAAAAGCAGTAATATTATGACATATTATTACAATTTAAAATAACTGTATTCTATTTTTATATATTTAAAAATGTAATTTCTTCCTCTGATGGCAAAGCTGAATTTTCAGCAGCCATTATTCTAGTCAGTGTCACATGATCTTTCAGAAATCCTTCTAATGTGCTGATTTTGTGCTCAAGAATCATTTCTTATTATTATCAATGTTAAAAACTATTGTGCTGCTTAATATTTTTGTAGAAACTAGGGGTGTAAAGGTACACCAACATGTTATTAAATCATTCAGACATCAATAACAGGTAAAGTAAAACATAATGAGTATATAGTCAGCCTAGACTTATTTTTTAGCGAACTAACACGATGTGGACACTGATGGCTTGCCTGAGGTAAATGAAATGCTATGTGACATTTTGTTTACAAGCTGTTTTAATGATGTCTTTCCACGATTGAAACACTGAGTGATTACATGAGGCATACGATTTTATTTCACATTAAAACTAGAAGTAAAGAAGGAAGAGATGATCACGCTGACTCGCGCTCCGCGCAGCAGTTTAAACGGAGGCGTTTATACAGCGATCTGTCACGCCACATCAAAGAGTGCCAAAACGGCATTTATTGTCTGAATTTCCTGAAAAAAAGAAAGAATGATTTGTTCGGTATACATGCGTACCGAACCGAAAGACCTGTACTGAAAATGTTCGGTACGAATATGTGTACCGACACACCCCCTAGTGGAAACCATGATATACAGTAGTCAACATTTGAAGTGGATCAAAAAAGTTAATCAAAGTTGTCCTAAGACAATAACGCTTTTTGGTTTTAGGACAACTTTGATGAAAGGTATTGATCCACTTCAAATGTTGACTTGTGTATATATATATATATATATAAATATATACATAGAGAGAGATTTTTTTAGAATTCGTAGAGTGATAGAAAGTTGCGCTAAATATATTTTTTAACATTGTAAATGTCTTTTTTTGTCACTTTTGGTCAGTGTAAAGTATTATTTTCAAAAGCAAAAAAAAAAAACGTTACGATCTGTTATTCATTTTCTTTTTCTCTCATTTATTCAGCAACAAGAACTGGGAAATCACAACCACCTTTAGACATTCCCTGTAAGTTTGCTGCTTTTGAAATTGCACTATTTCTGATCTACTTGGTCAAGAGAGATGTTTACTATGTTTTGAATCATTTTCTGATATGCCGCAACAGCTCATAAAACCAGTTCCAGCGAGCCAGAGTATATGTGTAAGTGGATGGGGCTGCCGTATGCAGAGTGCACATGGGAGGATGGCGCGTTAATCGGAAAGAAATTTCAGGCCTGCGTTGATAGTTTCCAAAACCGAAGTGCCTATAAGACAGTTCCTTCCAAAGATTGCAAGGTGAGTATGAGACCGTGTACTGATGGAGCTTTTCTTTCTTCTTTGGGGAAAAAGTGTTGAAGTTGTCATCTTTTCTTTTCCTTTTTTTTTTGTCCAAATGGAAGGTATTGAAACAGAGGCCAAGATTTGTGGCCTTGAAGAAGCAGCCTTCTTACATTGGAGATGAGGTCCTTCAACTCAGAGATTACCAGTTAGATGGAGTGAACTGGCTCGCTCACTCCTGGTGCAGGTATGTAACATACAAGTGGAGCTTTAGTTAGGAATTTAATACTATTATAGATGAAGTACAGGCATTGGCGTTCGATTTGTGTCAAAATATTATTTCTGTGCATAAAGCCTGGAAGTATAAATAAAACTTAAACAACAGTAATTAAACAACGGTACTAAAAAGAGTATTGACTGTTTAATTACTGAAATAATTGCTTGGGAAAACCTTAAAATAATATTGACACATTGTAGAAACACTTCAAGGTTACATGTCATTTTGTTTTAATTTAATGAAATTTAAATGTCATTAGCTTATATACATTTTTTTTTAAAGGAAAATTGTTTATAATATCAGTTTTATTTTAGCATTATTTATATACTATTATTTATTAATATTTTGATAAAATATAACTTTTAGTTGTTATATTTTTACTTTAATTTTAATTTTAGTTTAAATAGTTTTGTTTTTATATTTATATTACTATTACTGTTTTTTCTTTTTGCATTTATTATTATTTTCATTAAATTCAGTTTTAGTACTTCATCTTATTTTATTTAGTTGCTGAGATAACATTTTTTATTGTCATTTAAGTTTTTTTTTTTTGAGTTTTTCTTCTAATATTTATTGTTTGTTTTATTTCAGTTTTATAATTTTGATTAACAAACGTGATGTCAATAGTTATAGTTAATTAAAAAAGTAGTTAATATCAAGCTTTCATATTAGTTATTGCTTTTGAATGAACCATGCTTTCTTCATCTCTGGTTTCTGTGATATTCTGTAGGTGTAACAGTGTTATCTTGGCTGATGAAATGGGCCTGGGGAAGACCATTCAGACGATCTCCTTCCTTTCCTACCTTTTCCATCAGCACCAGCTTTATGGTCCCTTCCTCCTGGTGGTACCCCTGTCAACCCTCACTTCCTGGCAGAGGGAGTTTGATACATGGGCCCCGGACATGAATGTAGTGGTGTACCTGGGAGACGTCACAAGTAGAAAGACAGTAAGCTAGTACTCATGCTGAGACAATCCAACCACAAAGAATCCAACTTGTTATAACAATGCTGGTTTGAGGTATAACTCTCTGTTTTTTGACCAGATCCGGGACTATGAATGGATCCACCAGCAGACAAAAAGGATCAAGTTTAATGCACTTTTGACCACATATGAAATTCTACTGAAGGACAAGGTATGATATTCATATGTTCGATTGAATCTTTTGTACTTGGATTGTTTGTCATAGAAATGAGTTGTTCTTCATTATTCACAAATGATTGAGTCAAGACTTGTCTGTGTGTGCAGGGAGTGCTGGGGAATATAAACTGGGCTTTCCTCGGAGTTGATGAAGCTCACCGGCTAAAGAATGACGACTCGCTGCTATATAAAACTCTGATCGACTTTCGATCCAATCACAGGCTGCTCATTACTGGGACCCCACTGCAGAATTCGCTCAAAGAGCTGTGGTCCCTTCTGCACTTTCTTATGCCTGACAAGTAGGTACTCACACTATGGTTTTGCAGGTTCATTTATGCCATTTGCAGTCCACCAGAAGAATTTAGAGAAACTGAAAATATGTCAGAGTTAAAATGTTAATTTAAGACATTTAGTAAATATATTTTAGATTATAATTATATATATATATATATATATATATATATATATATATTGCAAAAACGCTGTATAAATAAATTTGAATTGAAAATGCATTGAAAAAGGGCTGCTAAAAATATAGCTTAAGCAACACAAGAATAAATGGCATTTGTTTATATATTAAAATAGAAGCTGGTTATTTTAAATGGCAATAATTCACAATATTACTGTTTTTACTGTGCTCTTAATCAAATAAATGCAGCCTTGGTGAGCATAATAGACTTAAAACACACACACACACACACTTAAAAAATCTGTAACGCTTTACAATAAGGTTCCATTTGTTAACCACATTTAATGCATTAACAATGAACAATACATTTGTTACAGTATTAAACTGTTCATTGTTAGTCCATGTTATCTCAGGTCCATTAAATAACATGAATAGATAATAATGTATTAGTAAATGTTGAAATCAAAATGAACTAAGATTAATAAATGCTTTAGAAGTATTTTTCATTGTTAGTTTGTTAACTAATGTGTAACAAATGAAACCTCATGATCAAGAGTTACCAAAAAAATCTTTGGTCTTTGGTTACCAGAAAATATTTAAAATCTTTGGAAACTTTTGAATGGTAGTGTATTTTTAGATAATTATTTAAGGTAAAGTTCACCCAAAAATCTAAATTCTGAAATCATTTACTCACCCTCTACCTGTTCCAAACCTTTATGAGTTTCTTTCTTCTGTTGAGCACAAAAGAAGATATTTTGAAGAATGTTGGTAACCAAACACTTGAGGGTAGCCACTGACTTCCATAGTATGGAAAAAAGTACCATGGATGTCAACGGCTGCCGTCAGATGTTTGGTAAATGATGACAGAATTAAAATTTTTTGCTGAACTATCCCTTTGAATTAAGTTCTAATTACTTACTTGAAGAAATAAGACGTACTCTTTATAATATTAAATTTAGTATGTTCTCACACAGTATAAATGGGTCTTTTAACATGAACTTATGGAGCTGCCTTTATATTTTAGTTAGGGGATCATCATATTTGGGGGTTCTTGGTGTCAAAAAGTTTAAAACCCCTGTTTTTGACTTTACCTCCCATTAGGTTTGAGTCCTGGGAGGATTTTGAGGATGAGCATGGTAAAGGCAGGGATAATGGTTATCAGAGCCTCCACAAAGTTCTGGAGCCATTCCTACTGCGTCGTGTCAAGAAAGATGTAGAGAAATCCCTGCCGGCTAAAGTGGAGCAAATCCTCAGAGTTGACATGTCTGCCCAGCAAAAACAGTTCTACAAGTGAGTGCTGTTTTATCCAGCCTCTTTCCAATAGCTCTCTAAATGGAGTAACTCTTTAATTGAGCCAAATTTTGATTCCAGACTTTAAGACCGTATGCAATTGGAATGCAAGTGTTCAGAGAACATCTGTCATTTGTAATGTGACCTTTTCAGATGGATCCTAACAAGAAACTACAAAGCCTTGTCTAAAGGCACCAGAGGCAGCTCTTCTGGCTTTTTGAACGTTGTATAAAATATTTATATATATATATATATATATATATATATATATATATATATATATATATATATATATATATATATATATTGCAAAAACGCTGTATAAATAAATTTGAATTGAAAATGCATTGAAAAAGGGCTGCTAAAAATATAGCTTAAGCAACACAAGAATAAATGGCATTTGTTTATATATTAAAATAGAAGCTGGTTATTTTAAATGGCAATAATTCACAATATTACTGTTTTTACTGTGCTCTTAATCAAATAAATGCAGCCTTGGTGAGCATAATAGACTTAAAACACACACACACACACACTTAAAAAATCTGTAACGCTTTACAATAAGGTTCCATTTGTTAACCACATTTAATGCATTAACAATGAACAATACATTTGTTACAGTATTAAACTGTTCATTGTTAGTCCATGTTATCTCAGGTCCATTAAATAACATGAATAGATAATAATGTATTAGTAAATGTTGAAATCAAAATGAACTAAGATTAATAAATGCTTTAGAAGTATTTTTCATTGTTAGTTTGTTAACTAATGTGTAACAAATGAAACCTCATGATCAAGAGTTACCAAAAAAATCTTTGGTCTTTGGTTACCAGAAAATATTTAAAATCTTTGGAAACTTTTGAATGGTAGTGTATTTTTAGATAATTATTTAAGGTAAAGTTCACCCAAAAATCTAAATTCTGAAATCATTTACTCACCCTCTACCTGTTCCAAACCTTTATGAGTTTCTTTCTTCTGTTGAGCACAAAAGAAGATATTTTGAAGAATGTTGGTAACCAAACACTTGAGGGTAGCCACTGACTTCCATAGTATGGAAAAAAGTACCATGGATGTCAACGGCTGCCGTCAGATGTTTGGTAAATGATGACAGAATTAAAATTTTTTGCTGAACTATCCCTTTGAATTAAGTTCTAATTACTTACTTGAAGAAATAAGACGTACTCTTTATAATATTAAATTTAGTATGTTCTCACACAGTATAAATGGGTCTTTTAACATGAACTTATGGAGCTGCCTTTATATTTTAGTTAGGGGATCATCATATTTGGGGGTTCTTGGTGTCAAAAAGTTTAAAACCCCTGTTTTTGACTTTACCTCCCATTAGGTTTGAGTCCTGGGAGGATTTTGAGGATGAGCATGGTAAAGGCAGGGATAATGGTTATCAGAGCCTCCACAAAGTTCTGGAGCCATTCCTACTGCGTCGTGTCAAGAAAGATGTAGAGAAATCCCTGCCGGCTAAAGTGGAGCAAATCCTCAGAGTTGACATGTCTGCCCAGCAAAAACAGTTCTACAAGTGAGTGCTGTTTTATCCAGCCTCTTTCCAATAGCTCTCTAAATGGAGTAACTCTTTAATTGAGCCAAATTTTGATTCCAGACTTTAAGACCGTATGCAATTGGAATGCAAGTGTTCAGAGAACATCTGTCATTTGTAATGTGACCTTTTCAGATGGATCCTAACAAGAAACTACAAAGCCTTGTCTAAAGGCACCAGAGGCAGCTCTTCTGGCTTTTTGAACGTTGTCATGGAGCTGAAGAAATGTTGTAACCATGGTTTTCTCATCAAACAACCAGAGGAGGTTGAGAATGAGACAAAACAAGAGCACCTACAGGTATGACTCTCCTAGATTGGAACAGAATGATTTTGTTCTTAGGAGAACGTCTTTTTTGAGGTTGTTTGTTAATGTTTGTTCAGAGCTTGGTGCGAGGCAGCGGGAAACTGGTTCTGCTGCACAAGCTTCTCACGCGTCTCAGGGAGAGAGGCAACCGTGTCCTCATCTTCTCTCAGATGGTCCGAATGTTGGACATCCTTGCTGAATACCTGTCTTTGAATCGATATCCATTTCAGGTATGATCTGAACAGAACTGCAAAGTGTTAAATTGTTTATTTGTACAGCACCATGAACTAGGACTGGGCGATAAATCGTTAACGTTAATTATCGCACGATATAGATTTCCTCGATAAACTATAACAAGAGTTCAATAAATGTTTGATATAATGTGGCAAAGGCGGAATGAAAGAGCGCTAGTCGTTTGAAGCGCGCCACTCGGAGCGTTTATCCGCTCAGATCAAAGTTCAAACAGCGGCGCGGCACGAGCTTCACTAAAGCAGATGTGTTCACTCGCTGATGAGTCTCGCTGGCGCGACACTGAACAGCGCTGTGAGATCAAGTGTGAAGCTCTTGAATTCAGCGAGGAACACAAATAACTCTGTTTACAGCCAGATGATACAGCGCTGACAAACAGAAGAAAAACTGTGCGCAACGATACAGTCAGAAGACTTTTTAATCTACAAATCGCCATCATTTACCATAGATTTACTGTAGTAGCACTAACTGCACCATGGTATTGTGTCAGAAATGTGGGGATTCGTGTCGAATTTTATTATATTATTAATGAAGACATGTATTAAATATATTGAAGGAGGAGTAATGGAATATAATTACAGTATTTTTTGTGATTAAGCTATAGCGTTTATGCATTTATAAATGTATTTAGACTACTGTTTCCCATAAATACCTACAAGCCATATTACATTTTTACCATAGTATTGATGTGCTATACTTGTGGTTTTTAACTGTGATTATCATGATCTAAATGTATGTTATGGAAGACCAATGGTTAAAAAAACACCTTAAACAGTCAGAATAATTAAATTTCACCATATAAAAATGAGATTGCTACAATTTTTACAGATATTACTGATTTTGATAATGAACATAAATCTACATCTGCATCCTAACTCTATTTCTAAGAGACAAAAAATGTTTTAATTAAATTGAAATTGTATTAATATTATCAGGCAACACAAACTTGTTTCTTGATTTGAAACAATATTACTCATTACTAGAACATGCAGAACTAAGAAATAATTTTTTCTATTAAGATATTTATTTTGTTAAGGAAAAATGACTAGAGAAGTGTAAAGAATTCAAAAACGAAGTGTTTGTCATGTTCTGACCGTAAAGAATAGTTGAAAACCACAATTAACCGTCTGGTTGTTACAACATTCACATTGGAGCAAAAATCTGCCTTTAAACTTGAAAGAAATAAAAAAATGTACATTTATCGTGATAATTATCGATATCGACTGATATGAAAAAAATAAATCTAGATATTTTTTTGGCCATATCGCCCAGCCCTACAATTAGAAAGGTGTACTAGGAATGTACTTGTGTAATTGACTGGCCGACTTGCAGTAAAAGCATTATTCCTGTACCTAAACCTCGCAGTGATCCCTGAATGCACTGGGTGGTGCTGTGGATATGTGCCGTTAAGATGATAAGCGATGAAGCCATGTGGCAATATTTCTATATTATGAAAAGTAATGATAATGTATATGGATCTGTTGTGAAGTTAAAAAGATACTTGGTCGCTTGTCAGTGTTTTTTGTATTTTCACTACTTGCTCTTCTGAATAGGAATGTGTTAAACTTTGTATTGAAACATCGTTTGCATACTTCTATTATGCTAATGGTGGCAGTCAACTTTTGAAATTAGTTTCTCTGTAAACTTGAGGTGAATTTGGGGATTTAAAAAAAAATCACTTTGAAGTTAACTTGCATGGAAATCATTATCAGTGATGAAACATTTCTGAATAAAACTAAATGCATTGCATACTTGAGTTCTGTTTAACTTACATTTACATTTTTTTAAGAAATGGATTACCAGAGTCACATTTTTTCTCTCTTCAGTAAAATTTTGACCAGGTGCTGCACTTACAATCATGTGTTTTTCCGGGAAAATGCGGTACTTGTTTTTGTGTGCTACCGAGTACTCGATTACAAAATGATGTGAATGCACTTGCTTAGTGTCCTTGTACAGTTGACAGTTTGTATTTTTGTAATGTCTGAGGAGACATTCAGAGTTGTAGCTTGTATGGACTTTGCTTGGGTGATTTAGGGAATCATGTGTCAGGGTTGCAGTATGTCTGCTCAGACAGCAAGTTCCCGAGCCTATTTTTATCCCTCTGATATTTTTTGATCGGTGCAGCTTTGAGCATTAGCACAGCTTGCCTCTTGGTCTGGCAAAACATCCTCAGCGTGGTCATAATTTTGTGGTGACTTTTTAGGGGGTTTTAGGATTTTATGGGTGTATAGCTGAGGTGCCCTAGTTTGGTCAAAGTGCCCACGCTTGACATTCCTTAACCGCATCTGTGTCTTCTCTCATGTTCAGCGTTTGGACGGCTCCATCAAGGGAGAGCTCAGAAAACAAGCACTGGACCACTTTAATGCAGAAGGCTCTGAGGTAAGATCCTAAACTGTGGCATGCGTGTTTGTTTTGTTTGGGCAGAGCTGCACTGTCTGGAGACATTTGCTATGGTTGTGATGTTCCAGTCAGCTCTCTGCGTCAGAGCTCAGTTGACAAGGCACTTTACTGGTTCTGGGAATGCTTGATCCATGGGAAATACAGGCCTTATGTAATTATTAGAAGAATGTAAATGTAATTCATAAAAGGTCAAAACGGTTCTGTCAGATTGAAACAAGAAGTTTGTTCAAAAACTCTACAGTAAACTCATTAAATATACAGTTTATACAATAAATCAATGTTTCATAAGTTTGTGAAATGAGGTTCTACAAGGCTGATGTGTTTTTAAGTGGTGATGTAAATTCTGCACCACTAGCATCACCAAAAATAGGCAAAAATCACAAAGCAAAATAATGATTTTCTAACAAGTAATATAACTCTTAAAATATACAGTATATGCAGTATATTGATGTTTGAAGTTGCATAAGGTTGTATTTTAATCCAACCACAATCCAAATAATCCAAATTTTATATTTTATACAAGGTTGATTTGTATTTAAGTAGTGATGCAACATCTGCATCACTAGTGTCACCAGAAATAAATAAAAATTGCAAAAAAATATGTTGTTTCTAACAAGGAATGTAAATCTTAAAATAGTATATACAATATATTGATGTTTGAGGTTCCATAAGGTTAATTTTATATTTCATATAGGGTTGCTTTGTATTTAAGTAGTTTTGCAACTAATGTCACTAAATGTGACATTTATGCATATTAACCTGGAATGGGATAAATAGATTTAAGCATTCATCACAATGCAGTTGGCTCTTGTTCTCACTGTCCACGGTCTTTAACAGGACTTCTGTTTCCTGCTGTCCACCCGAGCTGGAGGGCTTGGGATTAACCTGGCCTCTGCCGACACAGTGGTTATCTTTGACTCTGACTGGAATCCACAAAATGATCTTCAAGCCCAGGCCAGAGCCCACAGGATTGGCCAGAAAAAGCAAGTAAGTAGAGCATGAATCTTTGACCTAATGTGTAACGACACATACTTCTGGAGGAGTATGAGATAGTGTCATAAGTAGCATACGTAGACTGCAATTACATATATTTTGGGGTTCTTTGCATAGGTGAATATCTATCGTCTGGTCACAAAAGGCACAGTGGAGGAAGACATTATTGAAAGAGCCAAAAAGAAGATGGTACTAGACCATCTTGTGATTCAGAGGATGGACACCACTGGGCGAACCGTACTGGATAACAGCTCCGCAAATTCAAAGTGAGAACCTTGAATATTAAGTAGAAACAAATTAAATTTCTCTTATCAGAATGTTGTTTTAAGCATGTATTAAACGTATAACACAATGTATGCCTGTGTGTTGGCCATCTCCAGTTCAAACCCCTTCAGTAAAGAAGAATTGACAGCAATCTTGAAGTTTGGAGCAGAGGATCTTTTTAAGGAACCTGAGGGGGAGGAATCAGAACCACAGGAAATGGACATTGATGAGATCTTGCGGCTTGCTGAAACCAGAGAGAGCGATCAAGGATCTAGTGCTACAGACGAGCTTCTGTCTCAGTTTAAGGTACTCAAGATTCTATTAAAACTTTTAATCTTAAGTAGCATATTTTCTCCTGAGCCTTGGCCCAGCATGTACTGTGTGTTTTCCTTTTGATAGGTTGCTAACTTCACCATGGATGAAAGCACACCAAATCTTGAGGAGAAGCCTATACGCGACTGGGATGACATAATTCCAGAGGAGCAGCGGCGGAAGGTGGAGGAAGAGCAGAAGCAGAAGGAGATGGAAGACATCTACATGCTGCCCAGAAGCAGATCTAAAAAGAGGGTAAGGAGGTGCTTCTAGGTTACCTGAGGTGGTTACTGCCTGTATTTTCGTTAGTGGTCGACTGATTTAGTTTTTTTGACAGCCGATGCCGATATCTTGGAAAGCAGGATGGCCGATATAAAGCTGATGTAATTTTATTTATTTTAATATTTAAATAATTTGAAAATGTGTTAAAAGGGGTGGTTCAGTGGGGTTTTTATAGGCTTGATTGTGTTTATGGGGTGCAGTCTAACATGTGTTAATGATTTGTTTTTTTTAAAACGCATTATTTGTCACATAATTTACCTTTATTCCACACTGCTCTGTCCCTTCTCTGAGAAACACGCCGATCCTTTCCTTCTTTTATGAAGCCCCTCCCTCAGAAATAGGCGATGGGCTCTGATTGGTTAGCTTGCCCAGTGTGTTGTGATTGGCTAAACCGCCTCTAGTGCGCGTCTAAACGTCCAGCCCCTCTCCTCGGCAGCATGTGCTCCGGTTGTATTGTATATCAGTTTGAGCCCGATTGAGAAGCAGAGGATATTATTGAAGAGGATCGTGCAGAACCTGTGCAAACACGGCTTTTAATGGTAGGCCTGTGTTTTTAGCTTGTTGTGGTCTCATACTTTTAGATATGCTGTTATTTGTAAATGCTACTGCTTATGTTAGCTTTTAATATACGATTTTATCCTGATTAAAGCTTTAATACAGTAAGGCAACTGCACGCGCGTCCATGTTTAACTCTTCTCATAGCTATGTGAAAATAAGTGTATAACTGTAACAGTTCATGTTTGGAGCTGAGCTGAATGAGAGAGAGAGAGAGAGAGATGCAGAGCGTGTGCAG